CCCTATATTACTTGTGGTTGCGTATACTTGCGCATATCTTGCATACTCTTTAGCAAGGCTAACAGAGCCCAAATCAATTTTTTTTTTTTTGGTAAACAAAAGGTCGAAGCCCAAAAAACAAAACAAGCTAAGACCTACACACTACTGTCCTAGACCTACGGACAGCAGTGAAATCACCAAAGAGAAAAAGCTGAATACCAGGAGGAGGATCACTCCAGATTTTAAACGGCATTTGGTCCTCCACATCCAGAAGATAGTTCGCCAACATATCGGCACAAACGTTCCCTTCCCTGTACGTATGCATGAAACTAACCGACCAGCTTATGTTGATCCATGTCCGTATGCGAGATATCAAGTGACACTCACGGACTGCTTCACCACTCTTGGTAAGCACAGTGATCACACTAGATGAATCACTTTCAATAATAATGTTGCGGTACCCCTCATTCTAAGCCAACTCCAAACCCCGAAGAACATCCCAAAGCTCAGCCGTATAAGCAGAGCAGGAACCCAATTTATAAGAGAATCCCCCCAGCCACCTCCCTTGAGAATTGCGAATCAAACCCCCACAAGCAGCTAAGTTGGAACTACCTACCTCTTGCTGCACCATCAATGTTTATTTTCACAACATCATCACTCGGACACTTCCAAACAACATCAATAAGCATTGAGTTTTTAACCTGCTCATTACCATGAACGTGATGCCAAGCAGCATGGTTATCGCGCAATAAGTCACAAATAATACACTTCCGAACGCTCACAGTTGGCAAGGCAGTACCATGAACCAGTGCGTTCCTCCAGTGCCAGGCCTTCCAACAAATAACAAAGAAAGAGCTCAACCAACCATTATCGACTCCAGACGCAGCTATGTCCAAATTGTATAAGATCCAATTATCAAGGTCTCCCATGAAGAAACTTCGAATTTTAGCAAGATGCACAAAAGAACACCAAATTGTTTTAACCTCATGACAATCACGAAGAGCATGCATCAAAGACTCACTTTCCCTTAAGCAAATAGGACAAAGGTCATATCCATTCCCCCATTGAGCCGTGTGACTCTTAGAAAGGATCTTACCATGGAAAACTTTCCACATAAAAACTCACTCCCATTTGAATGGACTTTTGAAAAAAAGACTTTTTATGCATTGTTTTTTTAAAATAACTTTTTTTAAAACGTAAAGTTATTTTACATTTGGATGTATAATCTAAAAATTGCTTTTACATAAAAAAAATCATTTGAATGTTAAAATAAAAAAGAACTTTTTATATACAAAATTACAAAAAAGGACATTAATGGGAGAACATTAATGTTGTATTCACTTTTTTGTTTGTTGTGTGGCTTAGTTTCTGTGTTTATTCTCTTGCTTCTGTGATTGTGGCTTGAAAAAAAAGGAAGAAAAAAAAATCAAGGACCAGAGAAAAAAGAAGAACCAAAAATAGCAATTGTAGGATGAGGATTAAGGAAAGTGAAAGAAAACGGTACCTTGAAGAAGAAAAATGTAGGAATGAAAATAAAAAAGAGGGAGATATTTGATTACAAAGTAATAAGTTGTTATAGCTAAAAAAAAGAAAACATGATTGTGAAATAGGGAGAGATAATGGGCTGATGAGATAAGGTTAAATTTGTATTTTAAAATTTTATATTATCTTTTAGATTCTGCTTTTTTCATAAGCAACCAATTATTGGCTAAAAAAAGCATCATTTTAACTTTTATTTTAAATTTTGCTTTTAAAAAAAATTGTTATCCAAACATTTAAAATTTCTCAAAATGACTTCTTCTTTTTTTTTTTAAAAAAAAAAAACTTTTTTAAAAACAAAGGCTCGTTCAAACGGGCTCTTAAAAGCACAAATTTTAAAACGTGAAGCAACCAATGTGCTGCAAGTATTTCTTTCTTTTTCTCAAAATAAATTTTTTCCCTTTTAGCTTTGTTTTATGCTAAAATGACTAAAAAGAAAGGGTTATGTTTATCTCATTTTACATGAGATAAATAACTTTCTTACACACATAAAAGTGGTTGGGTCCCATCACTCTTTTTTCTCTCTCCTCTTATCTGTGGGTCCCACTTATAATTTTATTTCTTCAACATGAGATAATTTTTTTCTTACAACATAAGAAAAATATATCCCAAAAAGAAAAGAAAAGAAAGGTTTGAGTTTGTTCCATGTAATCAAATATGTATAAGAATCTTTCTTTATCCGGTATTATTCTCCGTTATACTATTTTGATTGCTGACAACAAAAATAACAAGTTCGTAGATACTGCAAAATGTGAAAAAGAAAATGTTAAAAAAAGTTTTGCATAAATACAAGATAATTTATGTGGGGGGGGGGGGGGGGGGGGGGGGGGGGGGGGGGGGTTGCTAATTAGTTTTAAACAATGGTATTTGTACATTAAGTTTTTTAATCATTTGACATATTTTTTTTAGATATTAAAATTACAAAACATATATTTTAATTATTTTTTATTAACTTTTCTATAATTTTTTAAAATAAGTAAAGATCAAAATACTATAAGATTTTTATCTAAATATATCATTTTTAATCAGTTTAAATCTTCAAATTTAAAACATAAATACTTTTTTTAAACCTGATTAAAAATAACCAATCACAAACGTAAAAACGCTTGAGCAGATGGTGGCAATCATCATTAAAAAAAAAAAAAAAGTAAAGAAGAAGAAGAAGAAAATTGATGACCATGCACGTTGAAGCTCTTAATAGCAAAATCCAAAAAGAAAATTAATGACCATACACGTTGAAGCTCTTAATAGCAAAATCCAAAAAGAAAAGTAAAACCGAAATTTTTTTTATCCCTTTCTTACCCAGTTTAAGCCAAATAAAGATAATGAACCAATTTTTTTACTAAAAAAAACGGGAAAAAGATAAGGATCAAATAAAAATATGAAAAACCTTTGACTCATTATTCCAATCCTAAGTCCCACTTTTTTCGTTTCACGCCTCAACTTTCATCCCCTATATATTTATTAAGGGAATCTTCCTCCTCGATTCAACATCTTCCATATACACAAACACAAACCAAAAGACATGGCTTCCTTGGGCTTGATGGGTTTAGCTACTTTGACCCTTTGTCTCTTGGTCTTAGCAACTGTGCCTCATCAAGCACATGCATTAAGTCGTGGATCTTTTGGTACAAAAAACGTTGCTGTTGAACCTTCAGTGGATGGTTTATGTGCCTCTTCGGTCACCATTCATGGCTACAAATGCCAGGAACTTGAAGTAAGAGCCCTAAACAAAGTACATTTATAATTTGAAATGGTTTTGAATATATATGTTAAGTGAAGACCCATCAATGGTTTATATACTTCTCTAACACGTTCCCTCACACGAGAATTCATTGGATTTTAAAATGAATGAGGCACATGTCCACCTACCTGTGCTAAGAAATTTCACAAAGAAATTGACGGTGGCAAGGATCGAATCCGTGACATCGATGCTCTGATATAATGTAAAGAACCAATTCAACTCAAAAGCTTAAGCTGATAGGTGAAACTATATTAATTGTTTTTATATATCATGTCACATGTTCGACCCTCATTGTCACTCATTCTCTTGTGGAATTTCTTAGCACAGGTAGATGGATGAGTCTGTGCATTGTTCACCCTTTAAGCCCAGTGGATTCTCGTATGAGGAGACGTGTTAGTGATATATAAAAATCATTAATATAGCTTCATCCACCAAGTTAAATTTTTGGGTTGAATTGATTCTTTACAATATATAGTCAAATGTTTAATGCAATATTATTCATTTTAATTAGTACATGTAGATGGGTCTGTGCATTGTCCACCCGTTAAGTCCAGTGAATTCTCGTATGAGGAGACGTGTTAGAAATATATAAAAATCATTAATATAACTTCATCCACCAACTTAAATTTTTGAGTCGAATTGATTGCGTACAATATCTAGTCAAATGTTTAATGCAATATTATTTATTTTAAGGTTACAACCAAAGATGGGTACATTCTTAGCTTGCAAAGGATCCCACAAGGTCGAGCTGAGGTTAACGGACGTGTCGCTAAGAAAGAACCAGTGATTATACAACATGGAGTTTTGGTGGTAAGTAATCAATGAATGCTTCAATTTCTCTTGTTTCAACTTTCAATTACCCTTTTCTCGTTCTCTCAAAAAAGAAAAAAGAAAAAAGGTGATAATATATACATATGTATATATATATATACATATATATATATATATATATATATATATATATATATATATATATATATATATATATATATTTATATATATATATATTACGAGAAAGTAAGTTATAGTGTCATATGTTAATAATAGCTGTGGTACCTTTTAGCACTAGAATAATTAGGGTTCATTGATAATTATAATATTATTTGAAAATTACTTACAAATTAAGTGATATAGTTTGACCACATTTAACCATACAGGCTTCACAAATGTAATGTGTATTACTTACATAGGGTGATGGCACATGTTACATTTATGGAATCTCTGAGATGAAAAAGGTCCAACTATATTTTTTTAAATGAATAATTTTCAAATTATATTATATTGGTGAATCTAATATCTGCCACCCAAAAATATCTTATCTGTTTCATTGTGTGAATATGGGTATAAATTTGGTAATCACTTCAGAATGCAACATTGAATCTGAACTTAGCATATGTCATTCGCGTAAATCCAGAAAGAATAGTGAAGTTTTTAAAATTTAAATATGCACTATATGCAACAATATTGATCCACTTATAACATAACATATAATGTTGTTTACTTATGGCTTAGAAGAGATTTAATAATGTCAGGATTCTATCATTTATATATGTATTACGATTGCATTGAGTAGCATTAATGCTATAATCGTAACAAATATATTAATTAATATATATAGGTTCCATGCTTATATGAGAATTAATTATCACATTCACACTCTATATATATGTTAATTTCCCACGTCTGCAGGATGGAATGACATGGTTTATGAACTCTCCGGAGCAAAACCTGCCCTTAATTCTTGCTGATAATGGCTTTGATGTGTGGATTGCTAATGCCAGAGGAACCAGATTTAGTCGCCGACACACTTACCTAGACCCCTCTAACCCGGTTTTTTTCTTTTTTTTCTTTTTTTTTCCTTAATATAATCTCCTAATTATTTTTAATTTACTAAATTAACATTTCTATATGAATATGGCAGGCCTATTGGAATTGGTCTTGGGATGAAATGGTTACTTATGATATGCCAGCAATTTTCGATTATGTGTCCAACCAAACAGGGCAGAAGATAAACTACGTGGGCCATTCTTTGGTACTGTATCATATAAATAACATATATAATGTTTTAGTAATGTATCCAACAATTTTATTCGTTAAATCCCGATATATCCAACTTTACTATTGTATAATTGTAAATAAACTATATTTTCAATTCAAATATATAACATTTTAGTGATAAAAAAAACGGATTGCTCGTTTATGCTATTGTTGAATATAAAAAAAGTTTAGCAAATATATTTACACTAGGATACAGAGTCGGATCCTAGAATTAAAGAAAAAAATTCAAGATACAGAACCGAATCCTGGTAAAAATAAGTGTTGCTACATAGCTATTAAAATTTCGTGCTCTATTCTAATATTGGTATTATACTAAAATTTCAATGCTATGTTTGGCAGGGGACTTTGGTAGCTTTGACATCCTTCTCTGAAGGGAAATTGGTGAATCAGCTGAAATCAGTAGCGTTATTGAGTCCAATTGCTTATTTGAGCTATATGAAAACCGCAATTGGAGTTATTGCTGCTAACTCCTTTGTTGGTGAGGTACATAAGCAAACAAATAACACTTACTCTTGTTATTTTGAAAATCTGAAATCATATATATTATGTAGAGGTTACTAATTCAGGGAATGTTTTTTGTTTTGCCAAACAGACCATTACTCTAATGGGTGTGGCAGAGTTTGATCCTAAAGGGTAAGAACATAGAACATAACAATATGATATAAGAAGAAAATGCTTCCTCATATATTTTAAAGTCCATTAGTATTCTATACATCACCTAATGCTCTTTCAACAATTCTCTTTGATTAGGATACCTGTGATGAATTTTCTCAAGTCTGTCTGTGCTAATCCTGGGGTAGATTGCAAGGACTTGCTTACTGCGTTAACGGGTATAAGCCTTTTCCCAAATTCTTATTTCTTGTCAACATTTTGATTTCAAGCACCGGACACATTTTCACAAAAATAATGGGTGTGCTTGAATTTGATTTTTTTTATTTGATTTTTTCAAAACTGTTTTGTAATACAAATTTGAAAACTGATTTTGTAAGTAAGAGAACAATTTGTTTGAATATAATTGGATCTTAAGTTAAAAAAATTGAATTTATTTATAAAATTGTCACTAATGACCATTTCATAATTATAAGATTGTCATCATAAATTATTGTTTTTTTTATTTTGGTAAAAATAAATTAATTTAAAATACTATAGAAGTTGAATTTATTTACAAAAATGCCATTAACAAATCTTCATAATTATAAAATTATCACCGTAAAAATAATAAAATCAAATAAAATTTTTTGAAAACATTTCTAAATTACTTTTTAATTTTAGTTTAAAAACTAAAAACAAATTATTATTTTGGGAGTCATTTATTCAAATAATCCTTTTCAAATAAGTTTTTTTTTCTAAAAATCTAAAAAATTGCTTTTAGATATAAAATTCAAGGACTACAGAAAATAATATTATTTTGGGAGTCATTTCTCTTTTTCTCTCCTCTACCATAAAGCCACACTGATAAATGGTATCAATTGATAGTATTTTCATTGATTTAAAACTGTACATCAATGTATCTTAAATAGAATAGGCTGTTACGGCTGTTACCAAATAGTAAAACAACTTCCTAAAGATAAGTAACTACACCTAATTACAATAGGACTCAGTTATACATATCCTAACAAACTACAGGTTACAACATATCACAGCAAATCATAACAACATATAGAATCTTCTATTCCAACACTCCCCCTCAAGTTGGAGCATGAAGACATGAAATGCCTAACTTGGAAAGAACGGCAACAAATGGAACACGACCAAGTGCTTTGGTGAAAATGTCTGCGAGTTGCAAATGAGAACGAACAAAAGTAGTTCGAATCGTCTTAGAAACCAACCTTTCCCGGACAAAATGGCAATCAATTTCAATGTGTTTAGTTCGCTCATGGAACACAGGATTTGCCGCGATATGTATAGCGGCTTGATTATCACAACATAATTCCATAGGATCATCATGGATAACATCAAGTGAAGCAAGAAAAGACTTCAACCATATCAATTCTGCTGTCGCGGCAGCCATGGAGCGGTACTCAGCCTCTGCTGAGGAGCGTGAGACAACGAGTTGCTTCTTTGTTTTCCAAGAAACAGGTGAGGTTCCAAGCATAATGAAGAACCCAGAAACTGACCGGCGAGTTAAAGGGCAGCTGGCCCAATCTGAATCACAGAAAGCATGAATTTTGAGATCACTTTTGGAAGAAAGGAGGATACCTTGGCCAGGATTCATTTTGATGTATCTTAGTACCCGAATGGCAGCCTCATAATGTGCTTCCTTTGGAGCTTGCATGAACTGTGAAAGAGTGTGCACTACATAACTCAAATCAGGACGAGTGATCGTAAGGTACACTAGCTTGCCGACAATTCTTCTATAGCGACCTGGATCATCATAGTCAGGTCCATCTGCCAGAGCTAAGCGATGATTCTGTTCAATTGGAAACTGAACCGGTTTACAATCCAACAAACCTGTTTCTTTGAGGATATCTAATGCATATTTTTGTTGGCACAAGAAGATACCCTCATTGCTACGGGCAACCTCGATGCCCAAAAAATATTTCAAGTGACCCAAATCTTTAATTTTAAAACACTTGTTAAGATAAATCTTAACCTCTTGACATGCTTGGGAATCATTGCCTGCCAACACCAAATCATCAACATAGACTAGTATGGTCAAGAAGGTAGAACCACGCTTCAAAGTGAACAAAGTGTGATCTGCTTCGGATTGAACAAAACCGTATTTAATAAGTGAGGAACTCAACTTTGCAAACCAATTCCTGGGAGATTGTCGTAAGCCATATAACGACCTTTGCAAACGACACACTTTTCTTCCTTGTCCTTGATTAAAGCCGGCCGGTATGCGCATATACACTTCTTCGTCCAGTTCTCCATTAAGAAACGCATTATGAACATCCATTTGGTGCAAGTACCAACCTTTTGCAGCTGCAACCGAGAGTAGAGTTCTAACACTCACCATTTTCGCTACAGGAGCGTAAGTTTCATGGAAATCTTCTCCTGGAACTTGATGATTACCTGCAATTACCAACCTTGCTTTGTAGCGCTCGATGCTACCATTGGAATGATATTTAATTTTATATACCCATTTACATGGAAGGGCATGTTTGCCTGCAGGTAAATCAGTGATAGTCCACGTATTATTTTCTTCTAGTGCATGTATCTCCTGAGCCATAGCTTTACGCCAAACATCATTGGTCATTGCTTCTTTAAATGACCGAGGTTCACTACCTGCATCAATAGCAGCAACAAAAACTCGATGTTTTGAAGAAAAATTGTTAGGATTCACATAGTTGGCAATTGGATACCGTATACCTGAGGTGGAGCTAGAAGAGGTGAGACTGGGAGTGTATGTATGTGCCTCAATCAGATTACATTTGTAGTTACTCAAATAGGACGGAGGCCTTCGTGTGCGTGCTGGACGAAGAGAATCGTTTTGAGCTGATTCTGCACTTCTTTGCACAAGTTCGTGAGCTGAATCTTCATTCCTTTGTACGAGAGCAGGAGCTGGATCCTCACTCCTTTGCACTTGATCAGCATTTGATGTAGAATCTTCATTCGGGTCCCTTTCAGACTGATGGACACTCCCCCTATCTTCCAACTGCACTTCTGCCTCACAATCATTTGAAGTTGATTGAGATACTGGATTGGCAGAATCATTAGAATCTATTGGTATAAATGTAGGTAATGATGGGCTAGGTGTAGGCACACTTATAGCAACAAAAGGAAACTCATCTTCGTGGAAACTGACATCTCGTGACACAAAGAATTCCTTAGTATTAAGATCATACACTCTCCAACCTTTTTGCCCATGAGGATAACCAACAAACATACACCGCCTAGACCGTGGACTAAATTTGTTTGTAGGTTTTGGTTGTGTCACCGCATAACATAGGCAGCCAAATATCCTTAAGTGACTGTAATCAGCAACAGATCCATGCAAAAGCTCATAAGGAGTTTTGCCATTGAGAAGCTTTGTGGGAGTTCTATTAATAATATGAGCTGTTGTCATCACACTCTCTCCCCAGAATTTGATTGGCAAGTTTGCTTGAAACAAAAGAGCACGAGACACATTTAGAATATGCCTATGCTTTCGTTCTACCCGACCGTTCTGTTGCGGCGTATGAACACAGGATTTCTGATGAAATATACCATTGGCAGTGAATAATTCAATCATCTTGTTGGAAGTAAATTCAGTTCCATTATCTGATCTAATACTCTTAACTGTTGTATTAAACTGATTTTGCACCATTAAAATAAATTTTCGTAACACACCAAAAGTTTCACTTTTGTCACCCATCAAACAAACCCAAACAGCACGACTGAAGTCATCGACTATCGTTAAAAAATAATAAGCACCAGAGAAAGAGGAAGTGCGGTAAGGACCCCATGTATCACAATGAAGAAGATCAAAAATTTTATTACTCTTTCGATCACTAATGGGAAACGAGGATCGATTTTGTTTGGCACGATAACAAATATCGCATGCCTTATTGTTTACATTGCCAAATCGAATGCTACTAGAAAAAGGAATCAGAGAAAGTGCTTCGGATGATGCATGGCCCAACCGCTTGTGCCAAAGTTCTTGCGTATCACTGGAGCGAACTGTTAAAGCTGCTGCTTGGCTTGGTCGAAACACATACACACCATCCCTGTGATCACCCAATCCAATCTCCGTCCTCAGCTTGCGGTCCTGCAAAACACAACTATTATTAGTGAATACCACATCAACATTATGTTGTCGTACCAACTGAGATACAGATATCAAGTTACACTTTAAATTTGGCACAAATAAGACATTGGATAATGAAAAAGAAGGAGTAAACGAAACAGATCCTTGTTGCACAGCATAAGTAATAGCTCCATTGGGTAAACCGATTGCCAAAGGTTCAACATCTGTAACATTCTCCAGCAATTCCAATACCCCTGTCATGTGGCGTGATGCACCACTATCTATAAGCCAGTGACAATGGGAATCTTTACGATTTAATTTGTCCTTTGAGCGTTGCGGGTTGTCAACCAATGATAACAATTGTGTCACCACGTCAGGTGTCAGAACGGCGAATGCATTTGCTTGCTCTAGTGGTTCCTCCGTTTGAGCTGCGTGTGCACCAAATGGCTTTGCATGGAATCCTCCTTGTGGGTTACTGCTCCTATCACCACCGAAACGTCCACGTCCTCGTCCAGGTCCTCGTCCTCTGCTACCACCACGTCCAGGATAGCCAAATGCTTGCCAGCATCGAGAGGCTTCATGATTAGTTTTCCCGCAGTGAATGCATGGAGGACGTTCAACAAACTTGTCTTTTACTGGTGCTGCTGTCTGCGTTGCGTAGCCAATTTCATTAGCTCGAGCATTCTGATTGCGTGTTATAGATCTATGAGTTTCTTCCTGATCATGTTCTCTTTCTTCTTCGATCTCCTTTGCATAGACACAGTCTTCTCCACATGTACAAGACCTGTAAGTTTTGCTGCTCGCAAGCTCATCCCAGACCGCTCTCAACTGCATATAGTAGTCTCCAATGCTACTGCCTTGCTGCCTGATGTTGGCCAAACTGGCCTTGAGCTGGTATTGTCGTGTAAAATTCTCCACAGCATACCTTTCCTTTAAGTCATCCCAGAGGTCTTTTACCTCATCAAAGCATTTAATAAACAGTTGTAATTTCTGATCAATGGTATTGTGTATCCAGCCATTGATCATAGAATTGCACATCTCCCAGGCGCGCCACTCTTCTGCCTTCGCCTTTTCTGGTTTCTTAACGGATCCGTCTATGAATCCTATTTTATTTTTCGCTTTGAGGGCATTTTTCATGAGTTTTTCCCAATTCTCGTAGTTGGCTTCTCCTCTCAGCATAACGGTTGTTAAAAGAATCCCTGGGCTATCTGATCCAGTCAGATAGAATGGTGATCCAGGGTCTGATGGCTTCAACCTGCTGCTGTTTTCATTGGCCATCTTCAACAGAAGCTATCTCCTGCTTACTGTTTTCAGAGTCTACACGTTGCGGAAGTTTTTTTTTTTTTTTTTTTAACAAGGGATCGCTCTGATACCATGATAAATGGTATCAATTGATAGTATTTCCATTGATTTAAAACTGTACATCAATGTATCTTAAATAGAATAGGCTGTTACGGCTGTTACCAAACAGTCTGTTACCAAATAGTAAAACAACTTCCTAAAGATAAGTAACTACACCTAATTACAATAGGACTCAGTTATACATATCCTAACAAACTACAGGTTACAACATATCACAGCAAATCATAACAACATATAGAATCTTCTATTCCAACACACACCCACTTTTATACGACTACAGAAAATAATTTATCTTACATGAGAAACAATAATCCCAAAAATCAAACTGGCTCAAAACTTTCCAAATTCTTTACAATATGTTTATGGAAAATATAGTTCTCATGTTGCAAGAAAAGCTTTATTCTCCAGCAACAAATTAAGATTATGTATTACAAATAATACGTAATTATAATTTAATTTTATTTTTTTTTTCTCCTCAAAGGCTGTTTTCTTGTTAAGAAGTTGGGAACCCTATGTTTATATGGCTGAATTGTCCTATACAGGTTATAATTGCTGCCTCAATAAATCAAGTGTTAGTCTACTCTTGAAGAATGAACCTCAGCCAACATCAACAAAGACCATGGTGCACTTATCACAGAGTAAGATTTTACCAGCTAGCTACATCACTCACAAATTAATGATGTAGCTCATTAAGTTAGTTACTTTTATAACAAATTAACTAAGCATTTTCATTAATTTTATGCAGCTGTTAGAAGTGGGGTTCTAGCAAAATTCAACTATGAGAGACCAAACTACAATATTATGCATTATGGACAACTATCCCCTCCAGTCTATAACCTTTCCAATATCCCTCATAACCTCCCTCTCTTCATTAGCTATGGTGGTCAAGATGCACTCTCTGATGTTATTGATGTTGGGAATTTACTTGATATCTTGAAGTTCCATGATGTAGACAAGTTAAGTGTTCAGTACATAAAGGAATATGCTCATGCTGACTTCATTATGGGGGTCAATGCCAAGGACATAGTGTTTAATGCTGTTACTGCATTTTTCAAGCGTCAATTTAACACTTGATGGGGTGTTCAAGTTGTAAGATAGAAGTGCCATGTACATAGCTAAAGGTCAATTACCCGCCAAGTTATGGTGAAGTAGAAGTTTTCTTTTCAATTTTTTTATTGGTTGTCTCTTACTCTGTGGAGGTTTTTCAGCTTCACTTTTGCTTCCTCAGGGCTTCATTTTTTCATCTAACTACAGATTTCATGTGGCCTGCTGGCCAAGCTTGTTTGTCTCCATAAATTCTATACACAAAGAAAAGAACAAATAAACAAATAAAAAATTGTTACACCCCAAAATTTTGTGAATATTAAAATTGTCTTTAGATACCAATAATCATTGATTCAAGTACAAAGAATTTGTTTCCTTTAACCAGAGGTCTTGAGTTCGAATTCTAAGAATATATAAAATGGTGTTCGGAGAGTCACTCAATATGGGTTCAAAAGTATTAAAATCAGATTAAACTTGCTTGGATAAATTAAAAAAACTGAAGATACCTAGTCTAGTTAAAAGCAGGACACACTTTTTGAGCTAATAGATTTGATACTATCAATAATATCCATATCAGCCCTTTATACTTAATTTAAAGTCTAAACTTCAAAACTGAAAATTGGAATGTTCCATAAAATAAATTTTGAGCCCTTTTTCATCTGATTTATTTTTTATTTTGTTTGGCCATTTTCTGTCATCTGAATTAAAATTTGAGCATCAAGATTGGTTATCCTTAAAGATATGATTCATGATATAACTTTGTTTGAACTCCAAGCTTTAACAACCTCTACCCACCAGAGAATACTTGGCGGCCAATCCAAAAACTGAAAACTAAGGATAAACACTTAACAACATTGCACCTTTGTTTTGCCCTGTAATCAAAGATATGGCCAAGCAATGTTTAACCAGTTAGATTTATGCATTTTTTATATCTATTAACAAGTCACTTTGCAACAAACTCGTAATTTTAATATTGTTTTCTATATATAATAATATAATGAAAATAGCTTATATGTAAATAGTATACATACACTGACCTTGTGTGTATAAATAGGATTGAATTATAACAATGCTCAAACAAAACCTTGTGTAACCTCCAAAAGAGTTTAGTAGTAAGCAGAAGTAAGAAACAAAAAAATGGGGCGCAAGAACACAATTTTCTTTGTACTGTTAGCTACCTTGATCACAAAGGAGGCATTGGCAACACAACATGTTGTTGGTGGAAGTCAAGGATGGGATGCATCCACAGACTTTAACTCATGGATTTCAGGCCAAAAATTCAAGGTTGGAGATAAACTTGGTAAGTTTCTTATACATAATTAGTTTAAGCTCTTTCATAAACTACTTTTTGCATATAATATTCCTTTTGTTCAAAATTGTTTTGATAAATGTGATCAATAATATGTTTTTATTTTATTTATTTATTTATTTGTTGCAGTTTTCAAGTACTCTTCTTTGCATAGTGTGGTTGAACTTGGTAGTGAGAGTGCCTATAAGAATTGTGATATTAGTACTCCAACCAACTCCTTGAGCACTGGCAATGATGTTGTTAAATTGGACAAGCCAGGTACAAGGTACTTCACATGTGGTACATTGGGTCATTGTGGTCAAGGAATGAAAGTGAAGATTGTAATAGTGAAAGGGAATGCACCTTCTTCCACAGCATCATCACCCTCATCATCATCATCACCATCATCATCTTCTTCTTCTTCTCCTGCTGCTACTACTACTACTACTACTTCTGCAGCTTCAGCCACACAATGCTTCACCTCTTTTGTGCTCATTGTTGCATTCTTGGTTGCCACAATGGTTTTGATGTTTTAATTTGATGGGCTATGGTGGCATGGCAATGTTATTTTCCCTAGTCATATTCACCTAAGTCGGAGTTAGTCTCTGAGCTGGCTACGAAACTGAGAAGGGACATACTTTATATATATTATTAAATGTATGTGTATGTCAATAGTTTTCTTTGTGCTGTTTTATTATAATCTTTTTCACTTTATGTATTGTACTCGAAATATTAAAATTTTCCTTGAAATAAAAATTTTAATGATTGAGGATCGTATATTTTACTTTAGGGGGCGTTTGGTATAAGAGAAATTTCTTTTTAACCAGGGAAACATTGTTGCTGGAATGTGATTGGAAATATTTTTTTCCGAGTAAGTTATAAAAATGTGTTTGGTTAACCAAAATTTGTCTCAGAAATATTTGGATTAGTTTACTGAATTGATTTTTGGTTAATTGTAAAATAATAGTACGAATGTGGAGATATTTTACAAAAATAACCCTCCATTTACTTTTTCGTTCAAAATTAGTACAACAAACAAGATTATTTTGGTTCACTTTACAGTAACACTTTTTCACATCCCAGGGCAATAATGTATTCCATATTATCGATGGACATATTCTGTTGATTGTTGTACATGGCTTAGCACATAAAAGGAAAAAACCAGATAACTTGGTACCCGAGAAACAAGCTTTCTTTTTTGTTACCAAACATGACATTTTCCTTTTACCAATGTTGTTCTCCCAGCTAACCAAACATAATTTGCATACCAAACGCCTCGTAGAAGAACCTTCTTGGGATCAATAGGTAAGTGAGATATATGAGAGGGTAAGTTAATTGCTCTCTTGTTGCATCTTATAATAATTAACAATTAATACAAAATACATTTAAAAACCGTTTTACTTGTTAAACATTTAATTTTGTCCCGATTTCTTTTTGTTATTTTGTTGTCCTTCTTATACGAAATTTCAATTAAAGTAAGCAATCCTTTTTTTAGCTCCTTCAAAGTTCTTAAATTTTGTGTTAAAAAAAAAAAAGTTTTTAAATTTCACTCATATTTTAAATTTTCAGCTCAGCTTCATGTTTAACCCAAACCCCATTATCATTTCTCAAAGCTTCCACTTTATTCCTTCTTCTTTTCGCGATAGCTAAGGTATGATAATACTTGGTATTTCGGTCCCCATCCCTGATCCACTCAGTTCTGAATTTGTGATACCACAATTTTTCTTCCTGGACTAAAGTCTCCTCCAACTCACCCCTGAGCTCCTCCTTTTTTTTCTCCAAGAAGTAGTTAGGGCCAAAGTCCAGCCTCCTCTGAATCCCTTCAATTCTTCTAAGAATAATATTCTTCCTCCTGAAAATATTCCCAAAGGTATTGTTGTTCCAGGTCTTCAGAATCGGAACAAGGCACTCCAGATTAACACTAGTGTCATCATTCAGCTTCCAGTTCTCGACCATCAGCTGGTTGAAATGGGGATGATCCATCCAGGTAGGGAAGATTCGAAATGGTCTTTCCTCCCACCCTCTGGGGTCAGCTTCCAGAGCAATTAGAAGGGGATTATGATCCGAATAGATTCTAGGCAGCACCCTAACTCTAGCCTCATGAAATTTAGCTCTCCAACTTGCATTGACTAAAGCCCGATCCAGACGTTTAAAAATCCTATCAAGGTGGGTGAATTTCGGGCCTTTCCAAGTGAATCTTGAACCAGAGAAACCCATGTCTAGCAGCTTGCAGTCCTCAATAACAACCCCAAACTCTTTACATCTGTTCACATCAATGGGGGCACCTCCCCTTTTCTCATTGGCAGAAGTAATTTCATTAAGATCCCCAGCTACAAGCCACGGCTTTGCATTCTGGTGAGCAAAACTTCGAAGTTCTTCCCACAAAAGTTTTCTTTTATCACCATTCGGGCTGGCATAGATAGCCGTAAAGATGAAATGATCATTCTGGTTCCTTTTAATTCTCACATGAACCAGCTGATGGCTTTTATTCACAAGATCAACAGAGAAATTGGGAGTGTTCCAGAGAAGCCAGATTCCCCCAGAAAAGCCTCGAGCCTCTTCAATGCAGTAATTAGAGAAACCCAGAACTCGGATGATCTTCAGAGCCTTAGCTCCACTAACCCTAGGTTCGAGCAAAACCACCAAATCAATATTATTTTTCGTGACAAAGGATGAAAGAATACCTTTAAGCCGCTTCTTGACAGCTCCTCTACAATTCCAAACTAGAAAATTCATAACAAACTAGTTGATTGATGACAGCCATTCAAGGAACTGTCCTTTCCATTCGCCGTAGCCTCCCTGGATCTGATCCCCTCATCGCCTGAAACCCTCCGATTGGGGTCTTGATTCTCTGGCAGCTCGAAGCTTTCTTCTCTCATCTTTACTATCTTGTCCCTTTTAGGGCTTTCCTTTCCTCCTTGCATGACATGTTTATCATTCTTCTGAGGTTTAATAGTTTCGATCCTCTGGGATAGAGTTATAACCTCTTCCAAAGCCTTCTCATTCGACATGTATCTCATTACTTGAAGCATTTCCATCTCCTTTTGCCTCATATCTTCCCCCTTTGCGCTCGCCGGCAGTTCGACTGAACCCCCTATCCCCAGGCCTCTTCCTTCTTTTCCCCCCAACGAATCAGACTCCATCAAGTACATTTCCTTGCTGTTGCTTTTTTCCCCCATCATCTCCTTCTTCTCGAGTTTGGGCTTCGAGTAAGTTGGAGTGGGCCCTTTACTTTTCTTATGGGCCATTTTCATGGGCTTAGACACAACCGGAACTTTCCTTACATTGGAGAGTCTATCTTTTTCTTTCTTAGCTGGCATTTTCCTACTGCCAATTCCCATTTCCCTAGTGCCTTGACCTATGCTTGTGTCCACTTTAACCAAATCCATTAGCTCCCCTCTGGCAGCTTTTTCCATCTTCTCAGCACTCCCTCCTTGTATCTCTTCTGTAGCCTTCTTCTGACCCGCTTCACTTTCCGCCGCCTGCGGTACCGTCGAGCCTTCCCCCCTGACACAAACTAAGTTGACTATTGGGATAATATTATTTTTTTCTACCGTCGTTTTCCTCTTCTCGTCTCTTTCAGCCATCTCTTTTCCGATTACCACATTCGCCGCCCTGGTAGACTCTGCTGGACGAGCTTGGGGAACCGCCTTTAACTTCCTCCCCCTAGCGCTTCGTTGGACCACCATCCAAGCCCCAAAAGCATCTGAGCTTTCCTTTTCGAACCCATGGATAACCTGCTCTTTTTGCATCGTTTGTTTGGAGTCATCTTCTATTTTCCTAGTTGACAACTAGCTATCCATTCCACCACTGCACGTCTCCTGTCGGTGTCCAAATCTCCCACATTTAAAGCAGATAAGATGGAGTCCCTCATATGCCACCGGAAAAGTCTTTCCGAGGACCTCAAATTTGGATAAAAAACTTCTCCTCAGGTCTACCTCAACACAAATTCTGGCATATTTGCCTTTCTCCGTATATTCCCCCTCTCCTGCGTTTGTCTTCTTCAGAGAGTTTCTATCTATCTTCAGAGTTTTTCCAAATAAGTTGCCAATCTTCCATAGATTCTGAATTGAGTAAAACTCTATTGGAAGTCCTGGAATCTTCAGCCAGACTGCCATTCTTTTAATATTCTCATCATAAGGGTCGAACATCGGTCTCCACCTCTGCACCGTTACATAGTGCTCAACAACAACCCAAGGTCCTTCATGAAGAACATGGAAATAGTCTTTCTCACTGTGGAGATTAATAAGGATATACCCATTTTCGAGGTCAATAATCTCAAACCTTCCTTGAAGGCACCATTGTTTCAGCAATCTAGCCATTAGGAACCTGTTATTAATCCTCTTCCCTAATAGTTTGATGATTAATGCATTCCTCCACTTCTTACAATCCTCCTTATACTATATAGGACAAACCTTATAGACAGGACACAGAGGGTCTCCCTGCTTCGCTTCCTCTTCTACCATCATCTTCCCATCTTCCTTTTCCTCCCTTTTTTGGATAGTTATCCAGTCCTCGTCATCACTGCGGTCCTCGTCCTCCTCTCCATTCAGCTGCAACACCACATCCTTATATGAAACCACTCTTTTCTTCCCTTTGAGTGTACATTGATCAATACTTTTTTGGGTAGGATCCCCTTCTTGGTGTTCTGAACTAGGGCCAGAATCTTCAGTCATTTGGGGTTCCTCTTCCTCTTCCATCTACCACTCCGATTGATATTAGTTTTGTGCTTCAATGAAAGATTTCTAGGAGAGAGAGAGAGAGAGAGAGGGAGAGAGTGAATTATTCAACTTTTAGGAACTTTAGATATATCAGTAATATATAATTTAGTTGAGTCAAAATTATCATTTCCACAAAGAAAATTATAAAAAATATATAAAGAAGTTGAAAATGATAGTTCACAAAAAAAACTGATAAATAATAAAGGAACAAATATTAAAAATAATAGCAAAGAAACAAATCAAGTGAATTTAAGAATTGAAATCTTGATATAATATGTTGGGTATCACTCATATTTCATATTTAAATGATGACTTTTGTTAATCGGATGCAGAGAAAGTCAATGGAGTCTTGCTTCAAAGATAGCGAATGCGGTAAGAAAAATATAGTAAAATATTGATGGATGTAGCCTAGAGTGAACCAAGATAACTTTATGTTTCTTTTCTCTTTTCTATTTTGTAATTGTGTGTGATTGTCTGGTTCCAACAATATAGAACATATCTAAGATAGCAAAGGGGAAATCCTAAAAAAAAAAAATTTGTTCTTCGAATGGGAAAAAGTGCAAAAAAGAAGAAGAAGATGAAAGTCTTTTTTCTTCCCACATGTTGAATTCAAGACCTTGCTTCTCAATCAACCCGACTATAGCCTTCTCATTTTCCCAACTGTTAGATTTCTTTTAAGGGAAAAATGTGTGTCATCTTAAACAATGTAAAGTGTCATTTTAAGAGAGAAAAAAAGATAGATAAAGGAGGAGAGAGGGTTTACAAAAAAAGTAAAGATGTGGGTCTCAGCTCTTTATGAGAGTAAAATGACATAAGTTATATCATTTAAAAAAATAAACATTTTTTCCTTCCTTTAATCTAATGATGAATATAGTGAATTGTTTCGGCTGCCTCTTAATTATGTTAATGCACTATAAATGATGGGTTTTATTAATCCCATGTTAAAGGAGATAAGTTATCTCATTTCATAGAGATAAATTTGTGGGCTCCACTATCTGAAAAATAAAAAGAAAAGAAAAGAAAAAGGTGGCACAGTTATCGAAAGGTGTGTAGGAGAGAAAGTTATCACATATAGCATAAGAGTAGTTTTTTCCATAAATGATTTGAGTAGTTTTTCTTTTCTCTCTCTTCCATAAGGTTGCATTTAATTTTTAAAATTAGGGATTACTAAACTCTTCCTTTGTAAAAGTACCCTTTAACCCAGTCTCTAACTTTGTCTTCTCACTTGGACTTTTGTCCAACTCTTCCTCTCTTCGTATTAAAATTTCTTGAAAAATGGAAAACATGTGCCCAAGAGTAGGTGTGTAAATAAGTTATGGTAGGTTTTAACTCAAATAGATCAAATTTGTGTAAAAAATCTTAGATCTGGCCTGACCTTGTAGTCTGTGTAAGCCCAATTTACAAGTCTGACATGACCTATATGTAAAAAATAAAAATATTGGCCTAAGCCTATTAAACATTCAATAATTAAAATAATATTATTTTATTATTCAAAATTATTAAAATAATAATTTTATTTATTTATTTTAAAATAAATAATATGATATGGGCTGGTCTATAAGCTTATAGGCCCGACATGTATAAAAAAAGCTTATGGCCTATTTTTTAAATAATATTTTTTTAAAGTCTGAGTATGTTCTATTTCACTATTTATAATAGATCAAATCTGGCCAAATATAGACTTAGGTCATAGACCCTTGTAGGCTGGTCTAGTCCATTTATATCGCTACCCAAGAGTACCACTTTTTATCGGTCCAAATTTTCTTAAAAATAAAACTTAAAGCTCAAATTTTATACATCAAATTCAGCATTGTTTCATTGATATAATTTTCGGTATTTATATTCAAAAACAACTGAAATTTTTTTTTTTTTTTATAACAAAACAACTGAAATTTAACATTTCACTTTAATAAACTAACAAAATTTAGCCTTAAAGTTAAAGACACGTGGATACATCGAAGTCTAAATTAAAAATAATTGTACATATAAGGATTAAATTTAAAAAAATTGGAGAAGAAATAAATTAAAAACGAGTGTCATCCTATAGGTATACAATGAAAAATTAAACCAAATACACTCTGATTTCATTTCAAGATTTAATTAATAAATCGTGTTTGGAATTGGGAAGCTAAAAAAAAATGATGCACAAGTGCTCCATCAGCTCCTCTGCTTCCGTATTGTCCTAGTTCTGGGTAGCTCAATGAGTTCTGAAGAACTATTTACAACGAAATTGAATTTGGGACATGTTCATGTTCATGTTAATTAACCAATAAAAGATGACTTAATCTTATTGCCTAAAATTTAACTGACTGTTAATGTCTATTTGCATATGGTCGTGAGAACAATAAGGCAAAATATACAAGGATGATTACTTCATACTCTTGAATTGTGTGCATAGAAAATGTAATTGAGTTTATATTTATTTTTTTAAAATATGGATATAAGAAATATTTGAAAACAAGAATGCCTCTTTTGATAGAGAAATCGTCTCGTCTTAAATATGGATATAAGAAATATTTGATTTCTATCGCCATTCAGTTGAATAAATTGGTACCAGGGATTATTCCAACGTAATCAGAGATCTCGAATTCAAGTGCTACTTGCGTTGCTCAATAATCCAAGTTTTTATGCGGCACTATCTTTTATTCTTAGTTTTCTAGTTCGTTGAACAGGAGTTTGAAGAACTAACTGAAACTTGAGAAACTCAACAAAAACTCTTTTGGTTCATATATATGATCGGTTCCGGGAGGGGAGTGATTCTTCGATCTCCATCAAATGGATGCTATAGAGTGCAATAGTTACAATATGATCTATGCCTTGATATGTAACTGAACTTACATAGATTGCATAGTTGATGCAACACCTTCCCCTTCAGAGAAAAGAGAGAACACTAATCTGTCCTTTCTGGCATTTGGATGTAGCATTGAAGTTTTGCATGGAAGAAAACAAGTGGAAAAATTTTAGTACCTGTCTCATTGTGGAAAGAATATGAAAAATTGGATATGGCTTAACATTGCTATTGTATCTTATCCTTCTCCAAACACTGGCCCAAGTAATAAAAAACTGAGGGAAGCTTCTTGTTAATTAAAGAGAGAGACTTTGTCCTAAGAAAGCTGCTTGGCCATTCAATGATTAGGAGACCTTCAATTCCACTTTTCTCTATCCTTAGATTTTGCCAGGTGAGGAAAGACTTGCAGAATGTTGTAGGCCAATAGATCTTGCCTTGTCAAGATCCCAATTACAGGAGATACCTATGATGATAACATATTATAAGGTTAGTCATATATGACTATTTTAAACAATTACAATTTAGTCATGAATTTGCTTTTTTCTCCTGAAAAAAAAAAGGGTACTTAAATATCAAATTCAATGTTTGAATGGAATTGGTATTCATAATGCGCTTAGTAAAACTCACCCCAGATGCTTGATACTTGGGTACAACAAGCATATGGCGAAGTCCTACTTGCCTGAAGAGGATCATTGCTTTTGCTACTGATATGCTCTCTAGTACTGTAAATGGAGTTGTATTGGTGAGAGGATGTAAATCAACAAACATCTCCATTTCTTCTCTTGTCACTGCCACCTCTTCAATATTCCCTTCTCTCTCAGCCAGCTCTACCCAAGTGAATTTCTCTCTCACTTCCCATTCCTCAGTTCTCCTTCTCTCTTTCAAGAACCACTTTTTCTTCAGCACTTGGATGAGGTGTGCTCTTAGAATCACTCCATGCAGTTCTTTCATCCCATTGGCTAGTCCTGTTGGTGGCACTACCCCATCATCCATGACAGGAAAACCATTATGTGTAGTGTCTTTCAAGGCATTGACTATATTTTCTACCTTTTCTACTCCTTGAAGGGTAACCACTGCTGGCTTTACATCAAGAAGCTCTCCCACTGTGATGTTTCTCATCCATGGTTCAGGGTTTGCATCCAAGAAAGGAAGGCCTTTTAAGTGTAGTATGATCTCATAGATACTTGGGTTGAAGCTGTCTCCAACAGTTTTGGCTATTAGGAGAACAATCATTGTTATTGGTAGTAGGAGAAGGTTGTTGGTTAGTTCAAGAAATATCACACAGAGGGACACAGTCATTCTCATAGATCCAGCCATGAGGGAGGCTGCACCAAGAACTGCAAACAACCCTTTGTCAATGTTTGTATGAGGTCCCATGATGATGCCAAGAAGCCTGCCATAACCTGAACCCATGAGTATGATTGGGAGAAAGAGACCAGACGGCACAGCAATTCCAAAGGTAATTAGTCCTAATATGCAATAGAGTACAAAGAAAATTAGGATGGAGGAGGCTTGGAATTCATGAGTAGTGTTGGTTGAGAATATGTTTCTAACAGCATCATCATTAGTTGTAAGGAGTAGAGTAGCAAGATCATTGTAGTAGCCATTTGGACAGTTGAATTGTTTGTAATTTCCAGACCTCCCATTTGTGGGGCAGACAGACTCAGGAAGTGATGAATCACAAGGTTTGCATTTTGCTAGGAATGGTAGACCATATTGGCACACTGATGTGAAGAGTGAAACTGCAAGACTGAGGAGGAGCTTATATATTTTTCCTTTCCTGCAATAATTACAAGTAGTTCAGTTTCATCACAAATCATACAATCTGAAACAGTTGATTTGGGTTGTTCTGGCACTTGGCAGGGCATCATTGTTCATTTGTTATCCCAGGATGCAATTGAGGATATCAAATGATATAGTTAGTTACATGACATGCCATGATTAATTAGTTTTCCTTTGCTTTGTTCTTTTTATTCTAGTCCTGAGAAGTTGAGTACTTGTTTGTTCATTATAAAGGACAACTTGGTGCTATAAAGTTCATCTTGTAAGAGGCTAATTACATGAATCGAACCTGTGACATATTCCAGACTAATTACATTGTGACAACACCAACAACTTCTAACAAGGACCTGAATTGAGATACTAGAAATTGGAGAATAACAATGTTAATTTCATATACAACAAACTTCTATTCTTTCTTTTGCATAATATACATATATATATTAGAAAAACAATAGGAGAGGTAATATGTTTTGATATTAAGGTTTGGATAAGGGTGCTTACTGATTGATGAGATTGTAGAGACGAAGGACCTTGTGGAGAAGATAGTTGTAAAGGCTTCCCAATACACCACCAATGATTCCAATGATTGCAACAGGGATGATATCCATAACATGGTAACTAACAGTGACATTGCTCACATCATACATGATCAACCCTCCTTCACCAAAAAGACCACATTTCCCTTCATGACATAGTTCAATGAAGGCCCTTAGCACAACCACAACCACAGCTGTGCTACAAAATGTTCTCCAAAGGAGAGCACTTCTCCACCAAGTTGCAACCTCTTCAAGAGCAAAGAGAACTCCACCCACAGGGGCCCTGAAAGCTGCACAAACACCTGAAGAAGCACCACATGTAATGAGATCACGACGGTCTCTATCATTGTTGAAATATCTCAGCCACCCCCATTTGATCCTGTAATTGTCAGGTCCTCCTTGGCCTAGTAATGATGCAATGCAGCTTCCTATATGTACCAATGGCCCTTCTTTTCCTAAATCTAGGCCTGCTGATACAGCTCCAATGCTTCCAATTATCTACAAGAGCAAACATATTGGTTATTTACTTAAAAAAATTGTACATTATTTACATTATAGCAATAGCACTGCAATCATGATGTTTAGAATTTTTAACCAATCATGAGATTTTATTTTATTTTTCTTTGGTTATATTCTTATATGAGATTTACAAACTTGACTCGTTATATTTGTAACTTGTGATGCCCTATTTAGCAGCACAACTTTTATACAACATTTGTTAGACAATACTGTCATTCATATTAAATAAATTGCAATTGTTAATGATTGAAACCTACAACCCCTGTATCTTAATTTAACCATGTGCAAGGTTTGGTGCCATTTAACTATAAACAGCCTTACACCTCACTTGTATAGATAGAACAAAATGGAAACCGTTAGAAAATGATAAAAGAAATTAACCTTTTGTTAGAGAAATATAATATAAAATTATTAATGTGTCTTTACCTAACCGGTTAAACTTTTGAGTTAAATTAGTTGTTTTAGATGGTATTAGACCTTCCGTGATCGAGCCTTTATATGGATTTTATATCTTAAACTTCTTTGTTATGAGTTAATCAAAGTAAAAAGAATTGAGACTGTGTAGCATAAAACAGAACAAGCTCACCTTGACAAACAATGTTGTAGCACCATACATGTTGGGAGTATCAACACCATTAAGATAAGCTTTGATTTCAGGTATTCCAGGACCAGCAGCAGTTGGTGCAAAACACACACACAGCATAGCAGCAACAAATGTCAAAAGGAAATTCATGCCCGTGAAATATAGGAAACCTGACAAGTACCTGCACCATTACGTATCATACTGATTCAAAGTTACACACATTTTCCAACTACTCTGTACTCCATATAAGCATTTAAAAATGTCATTAAATTCTTATAATTTTAAGAAAATGTAATTATATTTGTTTAAATTATACTCTTTCATTTCACTTAAAAAAGTATTTTATATTTTCTTAAATTTTTTAGATTTTTCCACCGACCTATTGATTACTAAACTAACGAACCAAATAGGACCACAAACGTGACAAAACACTCCCTATCAAGTTTTTAATATAGTTACATATCCCGGACTCAATTTCAAGATTAGTGATTAAAGTGGAATAACCGGTGCCAATTTAACTAAGTGTTTGGTGGTGTTTTCTTAATTGTTAAAATAAATAAAGAGATTTATTATTCTTATGTTACATAAGATTGAATCTATCTTCTATACACACAAATTCAAGATAGATCCCACTTTATTTTTTTCTCTCTCCCACCTGAAAGTGGATTCCACGTGCACAAATGAGTATGTAGGAGAGGGCATGAGAAAACTATTACCCATAAATAAAATGAAACAAATTTTTTAATATTTTGAAATGGAGTGGGAATTTCCTTCAATAAGCTCTTTATTATTTGTTTCAGATTATAGAACCTATTATATGAATGAAGCTGTATAGCTTGCAAATTTCTTATTTTAGCAAAATAGGAGAGAAAACTTCTCATCAGAAAGAAAAAAAGTGTGGCAGGGTTGCTCTGACCTTTCTGTCTGGATGTAACTAACAACAGTGAGAAGCTTGTACCCTGCAATGTTCTCAACAGCAAGGTTGATAAGAGTGGCTATAATACCAGTAAAAAGTCCAACAAGGAATGCAAGAGACCATTTCAAGAATATGTATTGAGACACTTGAGCTCTTGATCTACTCCTCCAATCTTGCTTGAATAGATCATTCTCATTGATCCTGCATATATACACCCTCTTCAAATAAGCAAACTTTTTTTGGTGTAGGAAGAAACATTAAAAGCAGTGATGATGCTTTATTCTGAGTTCTTACTCATAGTCCAAGCTTTCTATGTATGAAACTTTTGCTCCAACAAGAGCAAGTGGATTGGAAGATAAAGTCCTGTTCCTCTTGAGAAGTGGCTCATTAAGTGGATTGTTTTCTGGGTCTCTTTCTTCAACTCCTTCAACTTCTTCCTCCATGTTGTCATCTATTGTTGTGCTTTCTTTAAGAAGTCTAGATTCCTCCCCCATTGGAACAACACACACAAAATCTTTGAGAAAGAGAAACTTGTGAGTCTCTAAAGTTAACAAACTTAAAGAAGGTGGTTTTGGATTGGAACAAAGTGCCTATAAATGAAAATTTTAGAAAGTGGAGTCTTAGCTTTTATCTATGGAGCCTACATGTTAGTTAGCAGTTTGACTTACCAATTATTCACACATTTTACATTAAGGTATTCTATAATATTATTTAAATCAACCTACCTTAGAATGCCAAATGGTGGGAAAGGTTAAGCCCCTCAAAGAAATTTCATAATACATAATTATTTATTAATTGAACGAGCAACAGTAAGGATCGAACTCGTGATCATTTGATCGCAGACTCTAATATTATATAAAGAATCATTTTAATCCAAAAGCTTACCATGTTGTATGAAACTATATTAATAATTTTATATTTTTCTAACTGGCATAAATTTTATGGCATAGTTGAGGCTAAAATTTAGGGACCTATGAAACTTTTTTATTTCAAGTTACTGAGACGTGAGAGGGACACCTGAATTTTAATATTCGTCTAAAATGTTAATTAAGAAAAAAAATTCAAACTTGCTCCATATTTGTTAATGAAGCTATCGTATTTTATAATCTCTGATTAGGCAAGAGATAGAGAATGCGATCCAAGGGTGGCTTTGTTTATGTTTTTCTCTCACAGTAATATCTCCATTATTATGATTATTAGTATTATATATTTGCTATCAAAATATCATTTTGGATTCGTCAAACTTTCAATAGGATTTGTTAATTTTTCCCTTCTCACAAGGTTTTTTTTTTTTTCAAAATACTTTACCTATTTGGACGAGACTAATCATGTTGGCCGTTGGCATAGAACGCAAAAATTATTTTATCGAATCAGAAACCTTTCAGCCCCAACAATGCGCTCTTTAGACACAACCTGCTTTCCAGCTATGTCACGTCTAGTGGCGGAGCCGGGCTCAAATTTGAGTTCGAGTCATGTTTATTTTTCTTAATTTTAGTTAATTAATATTATAATATTTTTAAATTGAAGAATGATCTGTTTATAATTTTTTTTTACAAATTTTTGCAAATCATACTATATGAAGTACATAGTATAACCTAGTGTACTTACGAGAGTACATAATATAGTTTGTAAGAGTTTATAAACAAAAAATTTATAAATATAACCCTCTTCATTTAAATTATGCACCTGAGCAGTAGCACGAGAAGAATTATAATTTTATTAAATATTTTTTAATTTTATTAAAAGTATTTTTTTTATACAAATGGAAATTGAACACATAACCTAATATAACTTACCCAAATCTTTTACCAAAAAAATTTTAAGTTTTAAATAGGGCCAAATTATAAACTGTATTCCAGGTCAAATTATATTTTAACCCGATCAAAATTATAATTAATTATATATAATAAGGGTAAAGTGTGTGTCATTTTAAAGGATGTAAAGTTGTGTCATTTTAAGAGAGAGAAAGAAATAGATAAAGGCGGATAGAGAGTTGACAAAAAAAATAAAGGTGTGGGTCCCACCTCTTTGTGAGAGTGAAAGGATATAAGTTGTGTCATTTAAAAAGATAAATATTTTTCTCATATAATAAATATAATTTATTAAAATTTAATCCGGGTCAAGACCACACCCAGAATGCACGTGGCTCCGCCGGTCACGCCTCAAAATTTCTTACAAGGTATTTCAACATTCTATGAGATTTAAATTAATATCCGACTAAGCTTGGGCTTAGCCCTGTCACATGGTGCCATGGTGGTATAGTGATATGATATTTCACTTTCTTTATGCAAAATTTCACCTGAGATACACTTCGTGATTATTGGAAAGAATTTTCAACTCTATCTTTCGTCTGATCCAAGTAAAGATAATTTTGTTGTAATAATTTTAGGCAAACTTCTAGGATATCCAACCTTAAAAAAGAAATGTTTTTCTGCTTTTAAAGCGGTAATTACGCCACAAAAACATGTTCTTACATTATGCCAGCTAAAACATCATCACGTGGAGTGGATGTTATGTTATTTGTGTTTGTTTGTTTTCTTATTTTAAATTTCATGTAGTGCTGATATAAAAAAATTAACGTTAAAATTACGTGTCAACATATTATTTAAAAAGAAAACCTAGTCATGTTTATTTATTTATCACAAATAAATAAATAAATACAAAACTAACATGTTATATGTGTAGAGTAATAACGTAATTAAGGATCCAAGGCATCAAGAGAAAAAAGTCAAAAACTATATTAGGAGCTAGAAAACCCCATAAACGTAAGCAACGTATGGGATGAGACATAGCTGTATAGGATTTTTGTTTTTTTAAGACATATTTCAATTGATTTATCGCTTCGTGGCTAGTCCAATTCGGGACGGGTTTCAGAATTAAGACTTTAAAACTTTCGCAAAGATAATATTGGAGAGAACTGAACACATGTTCTCACACTCACATATTCTATTCAATTCTCTGACGCCAACTGAGTTACCATTATTTGTGTATAGAATCTTTTCAATCACAATAAAATAAATTCTTTTTTATCTACCCAAAAAAAAAATTCTTTTTGTGTGTACAATTTCTTGTCTGCAATTATTTTTTTTAATTACATTTTAGAAATGAAGATCTTATTTTCGATAGGTCCATGTCACCATGTGTCCTCTCATCCACACATTGATTTTATTTTTATTTTTATTTTTATTTTTTGAATATGTGAGATTTCCTTCTTGATAAATAAAATATAATTTTATTATTTATCAAATTCATACTCTATGTTCATAAAAGATTAAAAGGATTAAATTTTTTATAGTCAAAAGCAAAATTGGAAAATCTTAATTACTACACTAATATGTTGCTGTATTTTTTTTTTGCAGTAACAACTTTTATGTTTATAGTAGGTTATAATTATATTATCTTTTAAAAGAAATATCTAATAATGTTTTATATTGCGTTAATTTAACATTATCCATAAGTTTTGTGTCTAGACTGCTTTTATCTAACATATAGCAAAAGCTCTATTTTAAGTTTTGTGTCTAACCGCTTTCATGGTTAGCACAATTCCATAATACAGTAGGGTATATCCCTACCCAGTATTTACAAAGCTTTGACTAAAACTAAAAGATTTTAAATTTTGATCTAATATTAGTGTAAATTTTTCGATTAATTGTATTTAATAACGTATTCTAATATCATAAAAGAATTAGACTTTTTTGGTGAAAAAAGAATTATACTTTTTAGACTGTGATAAACAAATTTATTTAATGATTTAATTATATATAATTAAATAATAGTATAACGAATACTTGCAGTATACTAATTATTTATTTATTTTACAATTATTCTTTCATTTTTGTTCACAATTTCAAACAAACATTTTCATATAACTTAATTAACACTAAAAAATGAGTATACATGCATCATGCATGTTTGGATTAAGTTTTGCTATTAAAACAAGAAATTGATAGTTTCATAAGAGAATTTAAAAATTTTTTTTTTTCTAAAGTAAATTAATGCCAGACATGGAATTGGGTAACGTCCTTAATTAGGCAAGGAAGTAGTACACCAATCCATTTTTCCTTCAGAATATTTATCAACAAACATAGCATAAAAGAATGGGTTTAAGAAAAAGTTTTCTGCCATATATACTAAATGTGTGGAATCCATTCATTTTTATATGAACGTGACAAAAAAAAAAAATCTACAGCAAAAATAAAATTATTTTTCCTTAAAACACAGTACCATATATAGGACTAGGGCTGTGCATGAGTCAGGTTGGGTCAGATTTTTGTACCGACTCGACCCAACTTGGTTTTTATAAGTCAGGTATTTTGACCCGACCCACTTTAATTTGATCCAAGTCAGGTTTGACTTGGTTTGGATTTTTTTGAACTAGTTCAGAACTGGGTCGGATTTGACCTGATTTAGTTTCTGAAGTTCTTCTGACTTGGTTTCTGAAGTGGGTCAAATCTGACCTGATCCATTTTTGACTTGATTTTGTCACAAAATTATTTTTTCATCAGAATACATTTTGTCGAAAAGCGACGAAATTTTTGCTCTAATGAAAAATTTTATAAAAATAAATTTTGTATCGAAATTTAGTTTCCGTCAAAAGTTTTGACGAAAATGATTTCCTCCATCAAATGTTTTAAACGAAAAAAGAATTTCATCAAAAAATTTGGCAAAATATTTTTCGTTCAAAATTTCGATGGGAATGTGTTCTGTCGAAAATTTTGATGGAGATTGTTTTGTGAAAAATGTTTTATTTGAAACTTTCGACGAAATTTAGATTCTCTAAAGAATTTTGACAGAATATTTTTTCGGTCAAAATTTTTTATCGAAATATTTTTTGCCAAAAAATTTTTATGAATATTTTTTATAGAAATTGTTCCGTTGAAAATTTTGATGAAAATGTTTTTTATCAAAAAACTTGACAAAAATATTTAGTCGCAAATTTTCGATAGCAATGTGTTTCGCTAAAAATTTCGACGAAATTTTTTTTTTTTTTCAAAAAGTGTAACGAAAATGTTTTCGCCAAAATTTGAATTCTATAAAGAATTTTGATGAACTTTTTTTCCGTAAAAAAATTTCGATGGAAATGTTTTTCGTCAAAATGTTTAATGAATATTTTTTTTGTGAAATATTTTGACGAAATTTAGATTTCGTGAAAATTTGACAAAAAAAAAATTTCGTCAAATTTATTTGCAGAAATATTTTTAGTCATAAATTTTGATGAAAATATTTTGTCAAAAAATTTTGGAAAAATTTTGATTAAAATATTTTGGTAAATTTTTTTGACGTAATTATTTTACGTTAAAACTTTTCTTTTAATGTAATTGTAATTTTTTTCCTTTTTCACATAATGGGTATGGATTAAATTTTGGGTCAATGGGTCATTATTAAAACAAGTTAGGTCTAAAACTGACCCAAATAAAGTGCATAAGTATTTAAATCCAGTTCAAAAAAAATAGGTATTTATGGATCAGGTCAAGGTCAGATCAAGGCAGGGTAA